AGAACCTGATGGGTTAGAGGTGTAATATGATACTTGATACTTCACCAGTCTCAGTTGAGGACAAGTTTTTTTCCATAAATCATGTTGTCATGATTCTCTAAGCCTTAGAGAGTCTAAGACATATGTGTCAAACTTAAGGCCCGCGGGCCAAATGCGGCCCACCAAGTCATTGTTTGTGGCTTGAAAAAGCTTTAAAAAATGTTATAGCTTAATAAGTCCATGCTGCTGACTTTCTCAACTTAATAAATTCATTTTTTTTATTACACAAAGTAATTTACAACATTTGTAACTTGGATAAATAATAATCAATTGCTGAAACATATATTAATACATTATGTAGTAGTTACAGCTCTTGATTGACGGCTGAATTGTCCAGTTGAGGTCCGGTCCTGTTACAGTACAGATTACTAATCTGATTGTAACTTTTTTTTTTTTTTTCTTGAGCTACTGTATGTTAATGTCATCCTTGAACTCCATAATTCATTAGGCTTCATTTTCAATTTCAGGGAATTTTTCAGCCAAGCCTTGAACTGTTATTGTAGTATAAAATAATTTGCTGTAAATTCCACCGCAAGTGGCATTAAAAACGTCTTTAAATTCAAATCCTCCCTTGAAGCCTTGAAGTTTTACAAAGGTAAGAAAAGCCGTGATGAAAAGAAATACATTTCTTACCTTGAGGCACAGTTAAAACTGCTAAGGATATCAAATGAATTATTTAGAAGTGATAAGAGCAAAGATCTGTCAGAAAATTAGCGTTGAATTCAAAATACTGCAGATATTGTGGGGAGAAAATATTCAGATTTTCCTACTTTTGATTTTAACATCAGCTATTGTTATATTATCCATAAATGATCACCAAAGGTGGTGATCAAATAACGAAAAGGTCAAGGACTTATACTGCAGTTTCCGCTTGTGTTTAGATTTTGTTCTCTTAAGAACAGACCAAATATGAACTAAATGTCATAATGTTCTCCCCATTGTTACAGACACACTCCCGCTCTCCGCATCAATCTCAGACATGTCTGACTGATCTCTGACTGAAGGACAAAACTGACAACACCATCAATCTAATAATAAGTCACTGACAAACTCTGATAATTACATGTTCCTCTGTTAGGTAGTCAAACTGTTAGCCTGACCTTAGCTGTAATTTAATGGGCAATAAAAATCACGTGAACCTCCAGATGATCTCCAGTCATAAAATTTGTGCAATCCCCAAACTCTTTTAACTTTCCAAATTAGTGTAGCTGTAAATCTAGTGAGGGTCCTAGATTTATTTTTAAAACTTCATTTCTTCTGCTGCATTGTTAGAAAAAAAAGAAAGAAAAGAAAACAGTGTTTTCCTTCCTAAAACTGTATAAGATTTATTAAAACAAACAGCCATATATCATATTTAAAAATTAATTTAATAATGTATATTTGATTTTCTTCCTAATTTAATTTTTTTATTTTATGCTTTTTAAACTTTTTTTTCACTTTCAAAATTCATCAAACAGGCCAGATTGAACTCCCCAGTGGGCTGGTTTTGGTCCACGGGCCATATGTTTGACACCCCGGTCTAGAAAATGCTAGAATTTTTTTTTATTAAGAACAGCAAAATTAATCTGTCATTACAAAAGACATGTAAATATTATTGCATTTGAAGACACTTTTGGTTTTAAACTTCTTAACAGGTAAAAAGTGAATAATTTCACCTCTAGTTTATTAAATGAACATAAAATAACATATATTAAAACAAATAAAAATTAAAATAAATGAGCCCTGATCAGAACATTTTTGTGCTAAACATCAGTTATAATAAACTATCACATACAGTGGTGTCACGTTCAGGGTCTGTTGTAACTCCTGAGTTCAATCATTAGGATTTTTCCACGTCGTACTCCGTTAACTCTCGTGTTCAGGTCTGCGCTGACGAGCGTCAAATCTGCAGCTAACAGGTGATAATGATGTTACAGCAAGCAGCTAATCAAGCAAAGCAGCAACGCAGGTAACACATGTTGATGAGCCGGCGGTGGCTGATGATGAAGGACGCCACCTGACGCTCTCCTGGCTGTCACCTGCTTTTTCCCTTCGTTTAAATTCACCGTACAGGAGCTGGGCTGGCAGGACGTTTGTAGAGCTGTAGCCAAGGTGGTTTTGATTTAATATCCGCGGTTGCAGTCAGAAAATAGGGAAATAACATCAACAGCATGCCTGAAGGTTCAAATGGAGATCACACAGCAGGAGCACTGGGGCAATTGTTCCTACAGGGTCCATTAAATGTGCGCGCAACCACTGGCTACCACTAGGACGCAGCAGCCCAGTGTGTGGGTTTGGAGGAGGGAAAGACACAGCTGGAATACATAAATGAATGATCCGTCCTCTCGCCTCCCACTCGGCATTTTCCTCACCCCTCCGCTGCTCCTTGACTGAGAGGCACGCGGGATCAGAGCGAGCTGTTCCTTAACTGTCACACCCTCTTGACTCCTCACTCTTCACTCTCCATCACTGTCTCCCTCTTGTTTTCCCCTCCAACTTCCTGGAGTCTCGCAGGGCTCGGAGGGCAAATGGAAAAACATGAGCTCGGGGCCGCGTTGTAGATTACAGTTGGGCAGAGCAGATGTCACTTGACGGAGACACAAGTGTGTGCTGTGGTGGCTCTCCTTCGAGCAAAACAATGAACTTAAAAAAAGAGAGAGAGACTTTTTAAACCAGAGACAAAAGAAAACAGTGGAAATAAATGTTTTTGAGTTTTTGTCAACACTGATATAGTTTTTCTATATCAGTGTAGGAAAACTTAAATGATAACTAATGAGCTAGCTAGCATCAGTTAATTGATAACTAATGAGCTAGCTAGCTAGCATCAATGGCTATAAAGCGTCTAATACCACAGACTAGTTCTTATTTATCTTTTTGTTGTGTATTTCACATATTGAAATTCAATTATTATTGTTGTTTTGTTTGTAGTTATAGTTGTAGTTACTCTTCGGCTGAAGGTGGTAAAGTTTTTATTTAAACCAATTCTTGCTCAGTTTATTTTAAATACTAACTGATATCTAGTTTTTTGTTGTTGTTGTTGTTGTTTTTTGCCTTTTGTTCCTACATTTCCAGAGTGTAATCTTCAGAGACTTAATATAAAACAGACATGTTTTTTCCCTGACTTATAGGCACAGACATTGGCTTTTTCATTTGTATCTTCAGAGACTTAATATAAAACAGACTCATAGGGACAGACATTGGCTTTTTCATTTGCTTAAAATAAATGAGCCCTGATCAGAACATTTTTGTGCTAAACATCAGTTATAATAAACTATCACATACAGTGGTGTCACGTTCAGGGTCTGTTGTAACTCCTGAGTTCAATCATTAGGATTTTTCCACGTCGTACTCCGTTAACTCTCGTGTTCAGGTCTGCGCTGACGAGCGTCAAATCTGCAGCTAACAGGTGATAATGATGTTACAGCAAGCAGCTAATCAAGCAAAGCAGCAACGCAGGTAACACATGTTGATGAGCCGGCGGTGGCTGATGATGAAGGACGCCACCTGACGCTCTCCTGGCTGTCACCTGCTTTTTCCCTTCGTTTAAATTCACCGTACAGGAGCTGGGCTGGCAGGACGTTTGTAGAGCTGTAGCCAAGGTGGTTTTGATTTAATATCCGCGGTTGCAGTCAGAAAATAGGGAAATAACATCAACAGCATGCCTGAAGGTTCAAATGGAGATCACACAGCAGGAGCACTGGGGCAATTGTTCCTACAGGGTCCATTAAATGTGCGCGCAACCACTGGCTACCACTAGGACGCAGCAGCCCAGTGTGTGGGTTTGGAGGAGGGAAAGACACAGCTGGAATACATAAATGAATGATCCGTCCTCTCGCCTCCCACTCGGCATTTTCCTCACCCCTCCGCTGCTCCTTGACTGAGAGGCACGCGGGATCAGAGCGAGCTGTTCCTTAACTGTCACACCCTCTTGACTCCTCACTCTTCACTCTCCATCACTGTCTCCCTCTTGTTTTCCCCTCCAACTTCCTGGAGTCTCGCAGGGCTCGGAGGGCAAATGGAAAAACATGAGCTCGGGGCCGCGTTGTAGATTACAGTTGGGCAGAGCAGATGTCACTTGACGGAGACACAAGTGTGTGCTGTGGTGGCTCTCCTTCGAGCAAAACAATGAACTTTAAAAAAAAAAAAAGAGAGACTTTTTAAACCAGAGACAAAAGAAAACAGTGGAAATAAATGTTTTTGAGTTTTTGTCAACACTGATATAGTTTTTCTATATCAGCGTAGGAAAACTTAATTGATAACTAATGAGCTAGCTAGCTAGCATCAATGGCTATAAAGCGTCTAATACCACAGACTAGTTCTTATTTATCTTTTTGTTGTGTTTTCCACATATTGAAATTCAATTATTATTATTGTTTTGTTTGTAGTTATAGTAGTAGTTACTCTTCGGCTGAAGGTGGTAAAGTTTTTATTTAAACCAATTCTTGCTCAGTTTATTTTAAATACTAACTGATATCTAGTTTTTTGTTGTTGTTGTTGTTGTTGTTTGCCTTTTGTTCCTACATTTCCAGAGTGTAATCTTCAGAGACTTAATATAAAACAGACATGTTTTTTCCCTGACTTATAGGCACAGACATTGGCTTTTTCATTTGTCTCTTTTCATCAGACTTTCATCAGAATTAATAAGAACACCAACATTTCACTCTAACGTTAATGGAATTTTACAAAAACACTGACGGCTCTGATTATTATACAAAAACAGGCCAAACTTGGATTTCATTAAACCCTGTATAAGTTAAGTAAGTTAAGATAATGGATCCAATCAGTTACAAAAAGTTGTTGCAAATTGAAAAATACATAAACGCTCAGCTGGTTCTGGCAACAATTCTAACCAGGATATATTAGAAAATGTTTTCCTTTGTAACAATGTTGGATTTTTAATCAAAACACTGAGTGCAAACGCAATTAAAGATCGTGGAACTCACCTCAGTGTCCTTTTTTTTGTCTTTCTGTCTTGGTCTCAGGGTTCTTCACAACTACATGCTGTGGCGCATCGTGGCGGCACTAAGTGAGCACCTGTCCACCGCCTTCCGCAGCTCCATTCACGAGTTTTCTCGGGAGATCGACGGCACGGAGCAGCAGCTGGAGCTGAGCAGACTCTGCCTCACGCAGGCCAACAAACACTTTGGCATGGCGCTGGGCGCTCTGTTTGTCCAGCACCACTTCTCCTCGCAGAGCAAGGCCAAGGTACGGATGACTGTCTGACAGTACGTATGGATGATGGATGGAGGGAAGACTCTTGTCAAGGTTGTCTCGCCATTTAAATTCTTACTGCATTGCTTCTTCTTATATTTGTATCCTCATTGTGTCAAAATGCATCAGAAATTGACAACTTGTTCCTCCGCTCAGAAAATGGGCTCAAATAGATTATGTTTGGGTTGGTTAGAATCCAAATGTTGATGCTCTGAAACCTGTATATATATATATATATATACATATATACATATATATATATGTATATATATACATATATATACATACATATATATATACATATATATACATACATATATATATACATATATACATATATATATATGTATATATGTATATATATGTATATATATATGTATGTATATATATGTATATATATACATATATATATATATATATACATACAGTATATACATATATATACATATATACATATATATATATATATATACATACAGTATATATATATATATATATATGTAACATCTCAGGGCTGAGACAGGTTGCCAAAATAACCATGAGGGTGCCGGCACCTCATGGTGCATAAGGAAGTGTTCAACAGAACTGGTTTGTCTTTGGAATTCTGTGGGATTTCTGACCTTCCTGGCCAAACATGACACTTATTGGGGATGTATTTGTTCTCATCTGAGACTAATCAGCCAATCAAATTCATGCATTTGGACTTTCCTGTCAGTGAATTAGACCCACATCACAGTGAGTGGCAGAAGAAAATTGAGGTTTATTCACTTGGCATGGAGAAAAAGAAAAAAACATAAAGTGGATGAAGAAAATGTGGTTTTCAGACCAGAAAGACTTAAATTTACACTTTAATTCTCTTCAGTTCTAAAAACATTCCATTCTTTATTTTTATTCCTTCCAAAATTATTGGACTGACAAAATTGAACCAGAATTTTTTTTCATATGTGATAAATCTGTTTTCTTTTTTATTTATAAATTCACCTGCTGAAACATTAATGAAAGGTTGAAGTTTGTTGTTGAACTGGACCTTCACCTGATTATTTTTTTGGTCTGTGATACACAGGAGGATCGAACCATAGAACCAGTAACAAACTGGACTCACTGGTTCGTACTTTTCACCTCTCATTTAAGAGGCATCTTCAGTTCCGACTAACTGTTGGAAAACTTTGACCTACTTTCGGGTTGTTAGCTTCACATGAGACGAGGTGTGGGCAGAGAGTCATTAGGCCGACCAGAGGAACAGAGTCTGCCGTGTGAGTCTTATTAAGCCGACTTTTCTAGAAGGAACGCTGCAGACATGATTGTAGTTGACCTCAGCAACAATCTCTGTTGACACATGCGGTCCCCAAATGGACACAGATGGCGCTCTGCACTCTTGTTTTACAAACTTGCTCCAACTTCATGAAGTGTGGTCGTTTGATGAAAAGTATCTAAATGAAGGTGTGATGGAGGATTTTTTTTAATAACTTCATTTTACATTGCTCTTCTCCATCCTTACAAATAATTAAAGGTTGTGAATAGGTATAAGGTGAAACGAAGAATGGGTTCGTATTTAAGTTGAGATGACGAGTTTCAAACAGGCTAAATCAGGGGTCCTCAACCCCTGGTTCATGGACCAGTAAAGGACTTTTCTCCCACAGTGAAGCCAACACCGACTCTGCCTCTGAGAGGCTTTAGAGTTTTAGAGCAATTAAATGAAATAGTATAGTCTCCCACAGTGAAGCCAACACTGACTCTGCCTCTGAGAGGCTTTAGGGGGGTTTTAGAGCAATTAAGTGAAATAGTATAATTTTCCATGAAACACTTATTAATTAGCATAATTATCAGGTTGTGACCTGCAGTGGAAAACATCGCTCAGAATTAAAAAAAAGAATTCTGCAAGTGTTTTTTTCCCTAAATTAAACTTATCTTAGAATATTTATATATTTTGAAATGTATTTAAAAGGACTTTTTCATAACATTATTTCTTTTAATACCATTTCATGGCCCATTATAAAAACTATAATCACGTAGAGCGTGGGATGAGATTGACAGAGATTACCAGTCCACCTGCAATCACTCCAGGAGATCAGTCTTCAGACAGGACACGATTCAGAGAAAATGGGAGACAAATAGGAATCAATTTCATTTAGAAATCTCTAAGCCGAGCTGAGCCCTAGACTTTATACACACACACACACACACACACACACAGACACACACAGACACACAGACCCTACCCAAGTCCAAACCAATACTTTCTCACACTCTGCTGAGTTCTGATTAGGAATCAAAACATCTAAATGCATGCGACTCTCTGAGCTCCACCGATGGAAACAAACTTACTTTCAGATGATTAAACAACATTTTTGGCAACTATTGTTGCCGTCACAATGCAACCGGAAAGCCATTTACACTGTTGTTGAACTCAAATAAAGCGGAGGACACAACAGTGTGGGGTTTGCAGCGAGGCAGCGGTTTGATTTGAAACAGTCATTTGGAGATTGAACCCTGTGTCACGCTGTAACTGCCTGATGATGATCATTACGGCAAAATAAAAATGTTTCCAGCACTTGGACTCAAATGTGGGCAGTAATTAGCAGTTTGTCTGCAGTCCCAATTGGCTGCATGTAAAAAAAAAAATGTCCACGTTCAAAGGCAGTTGGAGTGAAACCCACATGACTGACCTTGGGCTTGATTACATTTATATGAATATACATCATTTCAACAATTATAATCTTTCAGGCTTTCCAACTTGGAAACCTAACGTTTAAATTAGATCATTTTTCAGTGACTTTGTGCCGTGAAAGTCCTTTTTTTTTCTCTCTAACTCTTTCTTTTTAATTTATTTTTCTGTCTTTCTTGATTTCTTTCCTCATGACTGTCTTCCTCTTTTTTCCTTTTTTTGTTAAGTTTCTTTTTTTTTCTTTATCAAAGCCACGGTCTTTATAAAGTTTTTTATATCTTTCCTTTCATTTTGCCCCTTCCTTTCTCTCTTTCTTTCTTTCTTTCTTTCTATCTTTCTTTCTTTCTTTCTTTCTGTCTGTCCTCTTCCCGTCTCCTCTGTTTCCCATCTTGTCCTCTGACATGTGATTCAGTCCTGCTCCTAAACAGCCACCTTGGTCGTGTCCATCACACCTCTCTGAGCTCTGAGCCTTTTTTGTTTCTACAGTATTTTGTTCCTGGCTCAGGTCAGTCTTTTCTAATCTCCTCCTCTGACTCTTGTTCCCGCTCTCTTTCACCTTAATCCTCCCCTTATGTATTCTTATCAAGTCTCATGACAGCGGTACAACATGGGGATGAGACTCCCAATGGGATTTCTGACCTCTACGACCCCAGACTTTTTGTTTAACCCCCCCCCCCGATCCTTTCGCTTCCACCTTTTATTCCTCCTTCTCCTTCTACTCTCACTGTCCAACCGTACACACTTTTCTACTTTTACATTCCTTTCTACTCTTCCTTAAATCTCCGCCAAAGCTCAGGATTGTAAAGCAGGTCTGATGCAACGGAGACAGGCAGGCAATAATGACATTTTATGTGCAGGAGCTAAATTGAAACTTTTTGTTTCCCAGGTCTTGCTGTTATTAATGGAAGACCAGGTGTAACTCTGTCACACTGCCTCCATGAAGAGAGAGAGAGAAACAGAAAATGTTGTTTTAAGGATGAAGTCATAACGTTTTTCATTAAAAATATTTTTGTTAAAGGAAACTAGCAGCCGTGTACAGCTGGGGGCAGTGTTCTCCACGTTTCACTATCCTGCAGCGCCCCCACAGACAAAACTAATATTTGCCACCAAACATTGACCTCCAGTCCACAGCTAATAACTGTCAGAACTTCATTGAAAATAATGTAATTTCAACAAAGTCAGAACTTCATTGAAAATAATGTAATTATTTATAATAACAAATCTGCTGCTCTGATTGGACAAAGAAAATTAAATCACAAACCAGAGAAATGTTTCCTCTGTGGAAGAAATAAAAAAAATAAACAACAACAAAAAAATATATATAACACATAGAACTCATTCACGCAGTGGTCCGTACCCCACCCCCCACATTGTGACTCACTGACCAGGTCCCGATCCATCAATTGTGTGACAGATTATGCCCCAGTTGGAAAATGTTAAAGATGTTAAATAATGTTAAATAAGGTCACAAACGAGAACCAAATGTTAATTAGTCAAGGATTTGAAACATGAACATTATTTGTTGTATTTCTATCTTTGTTAACTTTAAAACTTCACTGTTAGCAGCTCTTTTTTTATCACATGCGTTGAGCTGTTTTATATCATCTTCACCCCGTGACTGAGAAAGTAGTGGCACAAAACACAGAAATATCTTTGTGCTCTGGAGAATTTCCCACTGGCAACTGAAGCTGCACTTTTTCTTCTTGTGGTCCATTTTATAGATGGATGGATGGATGGATGGATGGGTGGATGGATGGATGGATAGATAGATAGATAGTGTTCGTGTCCATGCAGTCTTCAGCTCAAACATATCACAGTGCAGGACAACGTCTCAATTCCAAACACAGACCATGAAGCGGGACACAAAGTTGACCTCATTCAACCTAATAATAAAACACTTCATGGTCTTTTCCCAAAAATGAGATACAAATACAAAACTGTTGGTGGAACAGGGATCAGCACTTCCCTCTTGCAGACACAGCGTCTCGTTGTCCACCAATTACACCAACAATGTTTAAAACTAAAAGTGCTTTACTGTAGAGATAAAGACTGCGACTAAGCAAAGTTTCTGCACCGAACATATGTTGAAGTTGAACATTTTCATTAAGAAAAGTTGTTTACACAGCTAATCCAGCCACTTGTTTACTGGGCATTTTTCTCTCTCTGTAAGTTTACTGTAAACTCAAAGTACTTAGAAGTACTGTCTGCCAGAAACTAGCTGTGAGACAAACCACAAAATGTAAATTCAGGTTATTATTAAAAACACAAGGCTGACTGTTTCACTGACTTCCTCTACAACAGTCTTTGTGTGAAAAACAAAAACTGCATCCAATTCCTTTTTTTTTTTTTCAACCAGACGACTGATTTCTTTCCCATGTACAGACAGCCAGACCAAGAGAAAGATTTCATTTTGGTTCCGTGTCTCGATGTCAGGTTGACCCCCTGATCTTTAATTGATTGCAGCGCCCCCTGTGACCGTGTCATGTTCGATCTGGTATTTCTCTTTCTTTTTTTTTCGTCTACTTCTCTCTGATGAACAACTGTTGTTTTCCTGCTTCAGACACTATCAATCGAGTCTAATCCCAGATTAGGAAGGATTGGCTACGGACTCAGATCTAATTTCTACAAGTGAGATATTGATTTTTTTTTTCTTTTTCTCATCAGGGTTTTTTACTACATCCGTGCAGACCACGGCTTTGAATATTTAACTTCTATCTGTAGTGACTTCCGATCAAAACTCAATCCGGGATGATTAGCTGGGACTTTTGAAACTGGAATATTTGGCTGAAATTCTTGCAGGAAAATGTAGAATTGGACTTTTCAGTAAAGCGACACATTAGGTCTTTTTCTTTCTTTTTTTTTAGTACAGCCAAGACTCTAAGTACTGGTTTGAGAGTCATACACACTGATGCTGTCCTCATTCTCAACACTTCACATGGCTCCAAGACAGCAGTCTGTACAATGCTGGCGTGAACACACAGGTTGGAGAGCTCATTATGAACACCAGAGGTACCAGACCTGAGGCCAGTGGCAATGTGTGTAGCCTTGACTGACTCACTGATGCTGCTTGGCTCAGCATGACCAGGAATTAATGAGCATCAGGAGCTGGAAGTCTGACAGCAGACAGAGTGGGAAAGACAAGCTGTGTTGTTATCCCGAAGTGTGGTGAGATTGCTGAGGGACACAACATGTCCCCCAGCCATTCAGGAGTAAAAATTCTGCTTGTGGTACTTTTAGAAAGCACCGGGATAATGCTTATAAAATACCTGACATTTGGGGGGGAAAACACTACACACTCATGGCAAAAATGCAGCCTGCATAGATGGTGTCAGACGCCGGGATTTTTATGTGCAGTGAAACCTGAACATGGTTGAATGTATTTCTGGTATTTTTGTCATGAGCCTGTCTGCGCTGCAGCCACATGCTGCTGTGCACCCTCTGTGAGAACCGGCTGTGAATTCAGATTCTTGGCCAAACTGAAAAAATGGCTGCGGTAATGATGAAGAAAAGATTTTTTTTTTTTTGGAAGATTCCAAAATAGAACCAGTGTCCTACAAACTTAAACTGCTCCTCAGTTTCAACATCCACTGAAGAAATTTGTTTTAGCTTCTATAGGTCAAAAAGTTTTGATGGAAGATTTACTGCTGTCTCATTTGATGGTTTTGTCAAACAACTAGAACAGGAAGCACTATTATATCTGCATCTTAGCCGCGTCTAAGGATTCAAATCATTCAGAATGTTACCTTCATTTTGGGTAAAGAAAGATGAAGCTCAAACTCAAAGCCTGCTGCAAAGCTTCCTTTAAGTTTGGTAAAAAAAAACCTACTTAAAGCCTGCTGCAAAGCTTCCTTTTAGTTTGGTAAAAAAAAAAAAACCGATTATAGGAGTGGTTATGTGGAGCTCTGAGTGCCTAGAAACTCCAATGCACTTGGACCAAATGTTGCGTGTTGTTCTGCAGCTAGATTCAACCCAACAACAAACTAAAAAAAAAAAGCTAAATTTAAAATGCTACAACCTTGCTGACTATTGTAGTGTAGTAGCAGGAAAAAATAGTTTGAGCCCCAATGACATGTGTCTCCCTCCATGATTAAACTATCATTGGATGTGAAGGATCTTTTAATAATAGAAATAATTCTACCAAAGCTGGATGACTAGAATGTTTTATTTTCAAGTACAGCGGTGAGAATTTCGACATTCTTTGCTTCGTTGCTTCTGTGTAATTGAATTTTTCTGCGCAAAAAAAAAAAAAAAAAATCTCATGCCTGTAAATTCTCTGAGTGAAGGACAGATGTTAGAATTTAGAGGCTCCTTCGCAGAAGAACAGTCCTTCACCGAGATTCAAAAGAGTTTCCATCCTTGATTCAGCCCTGACTTGGAGAATCAGTGATAATTTGTCACGTCATGCTTTTGTTGTCTTGTTTCTACTGAGAGACTCCAATTAGCCAATCAGATGCAAGAAGTTTTTTTTTTAAAAATCCTTTACTTAAAAATTGTCCTTTTGGGTCGTACACTGGTGTAACATTCATTAAATTCAGCCGTCCCTACGTTGGAGGTCTGATATTAGCTTTTTGCTAATGTACAATATTGTCCAAACACTTAATTTCCAATTCCGATATCAACCCATATTGATAGAAGCAGCCGTAAACTGCCCAAAACTGCAGTAAACATCTCAGGACCCTTGCAGGGTTTGACAAAACCCAGGCATTTTGTTATCTGGTTTTCGTTAGCGGCAGTAAAACCAATAACAACACTTACAGATATTACATAATTATGCTAATATCAGGCCGATAATTTCGGACAGTCTCTAAAACAAGGACTTCAGTCCCACTAACACAGACTCATCAGACAAACTGAGGAGAAAAGTTGTAACATCGTGTTTACAACTTTTAAAATATGCATCGTCCACTGTTGTTTCCTCGTACGCTCGGGAGAGAAAGGTGGAGAAGAAAATGAACAGGAACCTTTCACAGTCTACAGTCTATTTTTACTTTTTATGAAAATTACATATCACATCATAGGAGAAGTGAGATCTCCTTCAGACAATTCAATCTGCTGGTGTGAAAAAGAAATTCCTACAACTTGGTAACTGACGTTTTCCGACAGGTTTAAGCCGGTGATGAATTCATGGAAACGTACAGTTTTTAAACATTAAATCAGTGATGCTGAAGGAGCCGTAAACTTAAGTGAACTTATTTGTTTACCTTTTCTTACCCAGACAGCCTCTCCTTCCCAGGCTGTTACACTGTCTCTGTCAGGCTGAATAACACCGGCACTTACTCTGAGAAGTGGAGACGTAAAATATACCGTGTCAAGAGCAGGTACATTTGACCTCAGGTACAAGGTTGTATGAGAACACGTTAGAAGATTGGCTCACCCTCACTCATGCACAGCGAGCGGTGCGGTGCGTCTCCTCACTCCTCACTAATTCAGCCGGACTGATTGGCGGGACTAATTGGCTGCAGGCTCTCTGATACAGCAATCAATAAAACATGGAGGAAGGATCCGGAGCTGCCCGTGGCAAAGTGTACGGCTTGTAAAATAGGAAGCGCTCTTATTTTCGCTAAGTGAGTAGACATGGTGAAAATACATAAACAAACATCGCTGCTTTTTCCAGTAAGGACCACTACGAAGAGTTCGGATGTGGAACCATTTTTTGGCGGGTTTTCGGAAACTTTTAGCCCTTCATAATGTCTCCCAGGCGTAAGTCCGTTTCTTCTGGAAACCAACCGTTTGTTCCACACGGAACGACATGTAAATAAAACAGCATATGTTTGACAAATGCTTTGAGGACGTTGGTAATTTAGGTGGTATAACTCAAATGTGTCCAGGTCCAGGAGCTGGTGGAAGACGTCAAACACTCCCTGGACCTCCGTCTGCAGGAGCTGGACTGGATGGATGAAACCACCAAGGAAGCAGCCCGAGCCAAGGTTTGGATTGTGAAACCAATATCAAGAACACGCCTCCTTGTCACATCCGATTAGTCTTTGTACGGGATTTAATTCTTTCCACGGGGCTGTTTTTATTCTGGGTATTGGATTGATTGATTAGTCAGATGAAAGTGTGTGATAGGATACACCCAGGGTTTGACATTGAAAAGTGAAGGCTGACTAATCCAGGCCTCCTGGCCTCCGCTCTGTGTGCTGCTGCTGCTGCTGCTGCTGCTGCTGCTGCTGCTGCAGGCTGTGGGCTCCTGAATACTTTTACAATCTGAAGGTATAATCCTTTTAAGGGGCTCCCTTGAATTAAAGACCTGATCTGTAATCCTATTAGGACTGGGTCGCTTGATTGGCTGATGCTGGTGTGCACCAATGGCTGTGTGTAAGCAGTTATGAGTTATTGTTAGTCTTTAAGGCAAGTTTGGCACCGCGGCAGGAAATGAACTCTTTCTACAGGAGGTTTTGACAATCGCTAGCTTATGGTCCTGTTAGCATGTTGCTCAATTGTAGCAATTTAGCTGTTTCCTTTGTTGGGTTGCCAACTTAGTTGATGCATGTGTGAACCAATAGTTAGGTTTCTTGTCAAAAATGCTGTACTTAAACGGTTATGAATAACAGGGTCTGTTTGGTAAAAGGTAAGTTAGACCTTAAATAACCCCTTTTAAAGGGGCAATCGTCCATTTTCATAATCATAATTTTGAGGAAAAATTAAGAAATTCAGATTTCTGAGATATACTGTTGGGGTTTTTTTTAATTATTGTTTTGGTTGAATTTTGCTAAATATTTTTGTATATCAGTTTTTAGCTTTAACTTAGTTCTAGCTACATAATCTGTAATCCTACAATATTATTTCTTCTGTCTGCAAATATATTGCTGGACACTTCTAATGCTCCTCCCCCCCCCCCCCCCCCTCCCCCACAGTTGCAACACATGATGGTGATGACTGGCTACCCAGACTTCCTGCTCAAACCTGAGCTCATAGATCAAGAATATGGGGTGAGTCATGAGATTTCTCTTTTTCTCTGCAAAGTCCGCTCATTATTATGCACAAGGATCGTCAATAAACTGCTCTGAGATCCTATTTCCTCCCCCACCTCACCTCACCCCTCTCCTCTCCCTCTCTCTCTGTCTGGAATCATTTCCACCAGGCATTAAAGTGCAGTGACTGTGTTCGTCTGGAGTAAATAGAGGAATATTCAACACATTCACACTAATGTGACTCTTCAGATAACTAATAGACATAATGGGCGTGGTGATGTAATGAATTTAAAAGGTGACCTCAGACTCCTCACCTGCCATGATGGAGAGGGAACAACTGATGCAGTCGATGTTTACGTGACGAGAACGCCTGGGATAAACACTGTCCCAACTGCTTTTCTAAAGCACCAAAATAAATGGTTATTTATTATATTTGTAGATCCTGAATTGACAGAACATAAACTATATACCTGGGTCATTGTGTGCAGTAGTGCCCTCTAAGGGTCAAAAGTGATGCTGAATTTTATTTTTCACGATATTCCCAGTGTGTGAAGAGGTCAAATCCCACCACAGGCAGCCTGTCTGAGGTTTTGGTAAAACTGGCACGAGCTGGACAGCAGCGTCCATATGTTGGAGCTGGAACTGGAACTGGCAGCGACTGATGACACCAGGCAACTGTGCTGTGTGTTCAAATGTTTCAATTGCATTTTTAATTTTAAAAACAACTGTTGTTAATTCCGTCCAGGAATGGAGTGAGTTTCCGTCTGTGCTGCACTGGTTCAGTCTGGGGTGATAAAACAAGAACCACCCATTTTAACTCCCCCTTGGATCTTAGCTCTTCATCCGTCCACAGAACACTGTAGGTTCAGTGTTACTTCTCATGATCAGGTCTCACTTGTTCACTGTGTTTATATGCAAATTCACACACACGTAGTCCATTCTGTTCACGGCCGTCTCTGTGACAGTGTGTTTGTGTGATGGTGCGAGACGTGAAGAGTGAGGAGAGACGGAGTGAGGGGCGGGGGGGGGGGGGGGGGGGGCACATGCAGCTCCGCCATCAGATACAGCGCTAAGAAGCTGTTCTGTTGTGATTGGCACCCGTCTCTGAAAACGACACCTCGACAGCATCCCCACGGGAACGGAGTAAAATATTCTTCAATTACATCAAAATATCCTGTAGTGTGTGAGAAGTTTGAGATGAATTTACATGAAAAGGATTCGTAAGAATCTCAATTTGCATGCTTGACATGATACTGTTTCTTTGATACGTACAACTAACGTAGCCACACCCTCTCAGACAGTCGAGGCCTGACGGCTTGATTACTATAGAGAACATGGAGGTGAACAAGGCAAAAGACAGAACCATATTTGGAATATCTTTATCCTACCATTTAGATAGATGGATGGATGGATGGATGGATGGATGGATACAACGTTTGTTTGATTTTATTTCTTTATAACCCTCCATCTCAAACAAAAACAACAAAGTTAGAGAGTTCCTCATCCGAACAAACATCCGTTACAGATCAGATTCTGTCAAATATATAATTTTTCACAGCATCCCTGCTTCTTTTTCTGTGAGGAATAAATTAAGACTTTAAGATTATTTTTCCAATAGACCTTCACTCTGATGAGTGGGGAGTTTGCGTCAGTTTCCAGATTTTAAACCCTGACTAACGTGGAGATTAGCAAGTCTTTTAAACCCTGACTAACGTGGAGATTACCAAGTCTGCGTATTTCTGAGACGTGATGGACTCAGACAGGCGTAAACGTTATTGGATAAATCAGTCTTCCATTTGAAGGTACATGTTCAGTAAAAGACTGAACTGCTGTCTCTTTTTTTTCCTTCGGATAAAAGTATGCAAATAGACCTTATGTACGTTAGACTCCGCCCCTCCGTACAGAAACGCAAACAATCATTTAAATCACACAGGTACACAGAGAGTGAAACGTTTCCTTGAAATCCACTTTATTACTCAGTGAGATGTTAACAGTTTTGTTTAAAAATGTCCAGACTGGAGGCAGGAAGTCGGTTGTGAAACTTTTATTCCAAATTAAGTTTTTCCCATCTGCTGCAGTTGCAGCTGTGTGGGTTTTGTGTATTTATGCCTCGCAATGACAGTGGAACATCTGGCCCTTTGAGACGAAACAAGCAAACACCATACAAGAGAGATTATGTGTTTACCGTCAGTTTAAAGGATAGAGACGTAGCAGGGAGTGGGTTCCATTCAATTCCTCTGGCAAGAGAACATAATTGGTTCTCGATCTCAGTACAATAAACGAGCGTGAGGGCATTTTATGTTGGGCCCCGGCGTCAGAACAGGGGAAGTGAGTCGTAAATAATTTCTGCCAGAGCCACCACAGATTATCAGTATTCGGGCTTAATTAGCTGATTTAATGGCTCGCTTCACACCACTGAAAACACTCAGTTGAAGAAACAGTTCAACATTTCAAAAGCAAAAAAAAAAAAAACTACATTCAGTCGCTTTGTAACTAATAATTACTTAGGTGCACTGGGCAAGATGTAAAAAAAAATGTTTATGAACGAGTCTAATTAAATGAAATGGTTTGGGATCGAGACATTTGATCATGGACCTCGGAATTTACAGAAGAAAATGTGTGTGTTTGTGCAACCGACGTGTGTGAGAGGCGAGCAGACCAGTTGATTTGTTTTTACAAGCAGCCGTGCAGCGCCGCCGAGATGATCGCAAATGAGCTTTATAAAAGTCAGACGTAGAAGCACGGAGAGACTCCCTGCGTCCATCAGACATGTCCTCCGCCGGTGTTCTATGGCCCTTCAGTTTTGTGAGTTGTGTAGAAACAAATGAAAGTGGAAAACTCATAACGTGTAAACAAAGGCGTCTAACCATGTTTGCTTCATTTGTCTCTCTGGAGAGGCATTTAATAAAATGCCTATATCATTTCATCCTCAGCTGCACAGTGGAGGCACACTCTCCCGTCACTCGCTGAAATAGAAACACAGCATCTGCATCTGACAGCAGAAACGTGGAACGTTAGCGTTGGGCTCCTCTAATGCCACCACTCTGTGCATCTCAAACAGATGTTGTTCTAATAATACGGCGTCCCGCTCACCCACGGTTTGGTATTGGAGACAGTGTTGTGTCTAATGGTGAGATGTTGGACAGAAATGTCCCCCGAGTCTGATTGGAGATCATAAACCATCTGTGAAGGTGCGGAACACGGTGACTTGCAGAAATAGAAGTCTAAACACAGACAGGTAACAGGGAAACATCCAGGCTGCTCTGGTAATTAGATTATTTTCTACCACCGCGACAACGAAAACACAGTCGTCCTTTTAGCTGCAGCCTCGTGTGGTTCCCTGGTGCAGCTGTTAGCACGTCTGCAGAGAGCAGAGAGTCCCAGGGGAACCACACGGCCCTGATGGAGCTTCTCCATACACACTCTTATGAGTTTCAGCCTTGTACTAAATGGCGCCTCCTGTGGCAGCCTGTATTAGTTACAAGCACTCGCATTGTAAAGTACCCCATTGTGGGA